TTTATTTGTGGGTAAGTGGCAGTGAGAGCTGCAGTAAAACTGCTGCATGAGAACATTTCACTGGAACGTCCGAAGCAGCAGCCAAGTGTGCAGGAAGTGTCCTGCAGTCATCCTCATTCGAATCAAGTGCTGCCATTACATCACCTCTCCTGTTGACGTCTCCAAATTATGCATAACCTGCATCATGCTTGACACACCCGGTTAAAGAAATAGTGGGTCTGTGGCTGCTGATGTGCCACATATGGATGTTTGTCAAGGAAAGTTCTCACTTTTAAATGCACCGTTTAGGATTTAGCGTGATTTCTTTTAGTATTTTATGGTGGTATCTGACAGAACAGCAATGTTTGATGCCTTGGGATGAGAACACGCTACCAGCCCTACAGAGCACTGCTCTTTAACTAAAATCACAATTCTTCACCACTCACTACCTGTGAACTCAGCATAGCACCTTGTGTGCCAAGACATTTAGTCAATCCAAAGCTCAGAACAAAAAGTTTGAATAAGCACCGTTTATTATTTATGCTATGAGCTTTTGGAATTGTCAGAAAAGCACAAAGTGTTGATACTTTTTAAAACCCTCATTATATTTTAGGCTAACAAAGATTTACTTGGGTCTTCAAATGCCTGGCTCCTCTCCATTTGAACCAGCTCCCAGTCTGGGTTACAAAGACAGGAGTTCTCTCTACTTCTACAATCTTTGATTGATTGATTGATTGATTGAAAAAGCTTAAAGTTAAAGCTGGACCAGGTGACCTTGAACCACTTTTTTAGTGAGATTGTTATACTCTCAGGTTGCTGGGGTAGTGTCCCATTATGTACCAACCATTTTTTCTCCAACCTTCTTTCCTCTACATGTTCTTTTTTGCTCACTCTTTTGTATTTTGTGTTTTCTCCTCTTTGTCATCAGTGCTCTGCTTATGCTGCTCTTTCCTGTCTTTTCTTTCTTCCTCAACCAACTGAGATAAATGGCTGCTGCTCTCTGAGTGGTTCTGCTGGAGGTCTTAGGGGATCATCTGATTATTGGGATTCTCTGTCGTACTGTAGCACAATATAAATATGATAGTTGTGTATATAAATAACATTATATGAACAATGGATAGAAAAATTAAACAGTGCACAAGGGAATTCAGAGTCAATTTCAAGATTCTGGTGCTGACTTATAGAGCTCTTCATGGACAAGCTCCTGCCTACATCACTGAACTTCTACAGCCCTTTGTCCCCAGCAGGTCTCTTGGGTCATGTAATCAGGGTCTACTTGTCATTCATCATAGAAGGCTGAGAACTAAGACAGAGCTTTTGCCACTGTGGCTCCCAGACTGTGGAACTCAATCCCACTAAGCTTAAGATCTCTGGACTCAGAAGTGCATTTTGTTAACTGTTGTCTGTTTTGTTTTATAGTTTCTTATCCATGTGTGAAGCACTTTGTGATCTTTTATCTATAAAGGTGCTATATTAATAAAGTTTTACTTGCTTACCTACTTACACACAAAATCTTTGAACATATACAGATATTATAGTCAGGCAGTATAAACACATGCGTATGAGGGAAGAGAATTCATTTCTGACAAGAAGCTGGAGTTTTCTAGTCAGTTGCTGCCTCCTGCTGACTCTCTGCCCTACATACATATGCATTTAAAGGCTTATGCTCTGCTAATGCCATTTTAAGGGTCAGAGAAATAAAGCACATAATATACCTGTTTGTACTAGTAATGCATAATGACTTCTTCACTTACAAAATAAAAAAAACTAAAAATTTGACCAAAATTTATTCAGAAATGTATTCTCT